CAGTTCGGAATGCGACCACACAAACACAAACACAATAATAATTTGCGTCAGTTGGAATCCGGACGTAGTACGAGAGTCACTAGAAAGCAATTCACCAACAGTTTTGAAGAGTGACACAACGGAAACGAGGTTTGATAAGAGTAGGTTATTTAAAACAAAGGAAGCCATCCATTCATTCCGTTAGGTTCATTCAGTGTGTTGTGTTTTATCCTAGCATTTCATATTTATCCCACGGTTCCTCCCACTTTTTTTCTTCCATGCACCACTTCTTTAGTTTCCATAGCGTATAAGTATATTAGTAGGTACGGCTGTAAGCACAAATTACATTGCTACTGCGGATTACAATTGCTGCTTAGACTTTTTCTCAAACAGCCTCAGATTTCTTCTCAAACGGAGAAGCAATTTATAGCTCCGCTAATTTGATTTAGCTGTAAAGGTGAAAGCAATTTCATTTTCCTTTATTGGAAGCAGACATTTCCTGGTAAGAAAATGAGTAAGAAGATTTCAGAAACCCTTTGCACTGTTCTCAAGCATTTAACAATCCGCGCATGCAACCGAGTGAAAGTGCTGTCGAATCAGAATGCAGAAAGGTAATGAATGGACACTCTTGGACACTCTGGCCTTCTTATTATCTCACTTTCTCTTTTTTTTTTAACATTTGCCTCTTGTTAATAATCCAAATTATTCACCTGTTTGAGGATGGACTGGATTTGGTGGAGTATCCGCTGTATCGGATCGTTCAAGTACTCTACACGCTTGTGTGTTGCACATCACTTCCATTACTGCTTTATGTAGGAATCAAGTACATTTTTTGCTCTACGTTTCATCGCAACATTAAGGTAAGCACCATTCAATAATTAACTGCAGGACGTCAAAGTTTCGTAACATTAAGTCGCAGTGGAATTCAAGAATCTCAGAAAGTGCAGAGTCTAATTCAAAAGGTGTCTAGTCGCAATGGCAATGGCATTCCTCTCGCCGTATGGTTATCCGGCTTTAAAAATATATAGTCGATTGAAAATCTTTTTTATTTAGAACGGTAAACAACAGCGGTCTACATTTAGAGGCCAACATGAGCTCATTTGAACTAATACAGAGCATGAATAGCGCCGCTTTCAACATAAACCAATATAGCTCAGATCCCAGTGAACTTTACTAATTCGAATAAAAGCAGTTACAGTCCGTATGTTTTCACTAACTATGTACTGGATCTCTGTTTTAGCAACATGAAATCGTGAATTTGTGCCTTTTCTCACTTTTATTTGTTGACGCTCAACTTTTTCAATTTTTAAGAGAGGAAGTATTTGACCAAGCGCTATTGTGTCGATTATCCTTTTCTCGATCAAGCTCATTGACTTCAATACCTACGCTGCTGTGCGTTTTGGACTATGCATCTCCATATCTATAGTTACTTGGATACCTAGGTAGTTGGATGTTCCATCTTCATGAGTTTTGCAGACCACAGCACATTTTGCAATTATTTCATTGCCTGGAATCGTCATCCATGGTGACGGCTTGATTCGAGCATGGCGCGGCTGCGAGTCTCATACCGTGATCAGTTAAGCAAGTGGAGCTGCGAGTACAGCTGTTTGACATTCATAAGAAACACGTCATCCCAATGTGTAGACGGCCTAACCTGGAATGGTCATAACGGATGCCTTCACCTAGTGGAGTTCACTCTATAGTTATTTTCGTTTGTCTGTCGTCTGTTCATTTGATTATGTAACCGGTCCATCTATGTATCGCTATCGATGTGTGTTCTCGTGGGCTCAAAGATGTGATAGACTTCCAAGAACACAGTCTCGCATTCCAGCAAGATATTGAACATGCCGGCTATGTTTCAGAAGACGCCTTTCCAATGCTCCCTAGGTAGTGAGCAATATTTTCGATGTGGCTGAAGTATTCACCCACGTCTCTGCTGCATAACAGAGCTCTAGAAGGACTGTTGAATCAAAAATATATGCGTTGAGTTTCGAATCCTTCAACTGGTTGGTAAATCTTTTGAGAAGCCCAAATTAGCACAAGCTGGCCTCCTCCTTCTGTTTTGTTCCCCCTTCATGTTGTTCTCCACGTTTTTTGAACGCTCAAGGTACACGTACAAGGTAGCCTTTCTAATAAAAGAACCAACAACTTTGATCCGATTGCTTTCACACTGTGGGTTTCTCCTGAACTGGGTCGTCTTCCGATTTATGCGTAGTGCGATCATTTTCCCGCTTCCTCGAGGTCACTAGTCGTCGCCTCTTCTTCGTATGCACTTAGTGAGAAGGTGAAGATGTCGCCGGCGAGACGAAGAGTCGATAGGAATTTTTTAACAATACGTATGCTTTCATCATCCCAACCAAGTGACTTCATTATCCACTGCAGTTCAGCACTACACAGTTTTGGCGATATGGTGTTGCCTTGTCGATTTCCTTTTTCTATCTATATGAGAATAGTGTGATCGAAAAACTGTGTTTATGTAGTGCAGTTCAGATAGCAGTCTCTCGAAATCAATGCCCATTTCACTTGCGCTCCAATTACAGACACTGCCATGGGCCATGCCACGAGAAAATGGCCACGGTTGTGAGAAAGTTGAATAACTACTTTGTTCACATCGTTGAGCAAAACACCTTCTGTTCAACGATTTTCACTTAGATACATTACGTCTTGGTCACAGAACACTTTCACGACCTCTTGGAATCAATAAATAACCTGTTGATAAAGATTTTACGGTGGGGCTGGTCCATGGATAGATATCTTCAGCTATACTTGCAAAAAACTGTTGCGGACACTAATATAGAATCTGTGGATATAAATAGCATAAATGGAACGCAGAAATACATTTCAGTTATTACGAAAAACCATGGAGAAAGCTATAATCATGGCACGCAAAGTCAGATATTGTCAAAGGACACGGGAAAATACAAAGAATAGCAAAGAGGATACAGGGAAGTTACAAAGATGTGGAAAATATGTGAGGATACTAAGCAATAGAACGTTAACCACAAGAAACCAGTACGCTGTGTCTTTTGAAAGGGTTCAGAACTAATAGACGGCACATCTTGATTTCAATGCGCATTCCGACTGAGCTCGAGCCCCACGCGTTACGTCGAGCCCGACGAGCACGACACGTGAAAGTGGTCACCGTCGTGAAAGCGTTAAAACATAATGATGTAAACGAATACGTTGCTGATTTTTATGAATGCCGGGGTTTCGTTTAAAATTCTAAAAATTTAAATACCGGTTTGATTTCTTTTGAAAACTTCAGACTTGAATAATTTCAAAAAATAAAACACCATATTTTGGGAACCATTCTTACTCTTAAATAGGCAGAAAAAATTCTCTTCCACAACCCAGTGACGTTCTGAACACCTCACAGATGCTACTTATCGAGAAGTTATCAACAACTTGCGAAAAACCAGTTCCGCACCTTAGGTGTTAAATACTCTTCTGTTTCCAGATTATTCTCCTATTGTATTACTCTCTGGCACTGCTTCATTCAATGGCATACACTGGTGCACAGGTGAAGCTTTTGCATAAATTTAGAGGAAGCGTTTTCCTGTGATTTATGAGTGCAAACTAACTAGGTAGTTAAGAACCGATTAAACGTTATTAAGCATGGAATTTCATCGAGATTCCCAGTTTGCTCAGAAAACTGTCATTCTTCAGATTTATGACATAAGCAGTTCAATAGTGAATAAGCCCTGCGATTTCTTTCCGCCTGTCTACATCCACGCATGTTTCCATATGGCAGGCGTCTTCTCAACTTATGGTATGGTAAGTTGTAAATACCCACTGAAAAATTTCTACACCTCTATTCAGATGTCCACTATCTGAAATGAAAATATTCCATTGGTAGTCCACAGCCGAGGGTTAACTCTGGATAACGAATATGTACAACGCAAAGCCCTTTCTCGTAATCGAGGTCGCCAATGGTGAAATCGGACACCACATATTCATCCATAAGCTCCACAAAACTGCGAGCGGAGTGATGCCTGGGCGGAATAGGTCTTAGTGGGAAAGACGGAAGAAAACTTTTCTAAAAACGCGTGAACGACATGTATGCTTGAAATTAGGAACACAATAAGCCGTACTAGCAATCATATAGACAGATATCAATATTTATTTATTTACTTCAATATTTAGACGTCCTTAGTACAAACGACAACAGTTCAGCACTATAAATGTGTTGACTATTACGCGACTACATTGACAAATGGAGCACTTGAATATCGGATCATGTTGAAACTTTTCAGATACTCAGTCTGGCGGCATTGTGCTGCGAACGGACTGTGGCGACGATTCGCTCTAACAAATACGAGAGCAGTGGCATCGCTTTGAGTCTGTTACTTCTTGCGCTTATAGTAAGCCAAATAATTTCTTCATGGCCACAAGAGTGGTGAGATATGTGCAAAACTCGGAACCTCAATTGGGTTTCGAACTCTCGATTACACTTTTCCATAGTCTTACGAGCTTTCAATCGCACTAACTGATACTTTGCTGTGAAATTTTCCCAGCTAATTTTTTTGCTCTAACGCTAGTATATTCGGGACGCGTGTAGCGTAATGCTTAAAGGCACCATGGAATACACATAGATTCCACCCTGTGCGCCAAGCTCACCAAATATTCCATTCCTCCGGTGTACGCAAATTGGTACCGCATCTATCTGTAAGAATAGCAGTACTGACTCGACACATAGGTGCACCTTCGCGAGTCAATGCACAAGATGGATACTTAATTCACCTCAAACGATGCATAATTGAGTCGAATTCATGGAGCATCTCTCAGGGGCTGATCAACGTCCTTAGCTTTTCGGGCTTTCTTTGATGCTGTCGGCAACCACTCACCCGTCGGCGTGAATGAGTTTTCCTACATTCAGTTAAAAACACCAGTATGCTTAAAACTATTTTGAACAAAGGCAAGAGTAGATATGCGCGCCCAAATCAACCTGTGAACAATCATCCAACCACAGAAAGATACAATGATGCCGATTTATTGAAATATAATAACAGATTGTTGGAGTTATGGTCGCCGCAGATTATGCCTATGACATCGACGATTTCAATGTAAAGTTGTGGTCGATGATTTACGTACCTCCGGGTGCCGCGGCAAAGTTCAACCACGTCGCGTCACTGAACATCATCATCTGCTTCGTCTGCATTGCCATGTTCCAGGTTTTGTCTCGATTCAACAAAAAACAATGCTCTGTGTAAGATTTTTACGTTCGTATTTAGTAAAAGCCGTTTATTTACGTGTCGATAAATTTCGCAATTATATCAGTGATATTTAAGCCATGCATGTATACATCTCGCTCCCTAATGTGTTTCGTTGCTCTTAGCATATATAATTCTGTACACTATTGTTTCGCTCTACGGACCTGCCCAACATGAGGGATCTCGAGCCAGTTAGTGGCTAGGGTACTTGGCGCGCCCCAGGTGGCGGACAAGGAGTTAATCGCGGAAAAATGGCGACCTTGGCTTCCCTGAGACGCAGGTGGATTCAGAAGATGGACTCCCAGCTTCTACTGTGCTGATTTGACACATACTTTCTGTATTTGATAGGCGTATTCGTGCATGCGTGTGTGGGTGCGTTCTTGCTTATGCGGATTGTATTCTACGAGTCAATTCGGCTAAAAGCTTGAAATCAAGTGAATGGGAAGTATATGGGAGGTGGTTTGGAGTCGCCTCCAACAAGTAAGCTCCATGTCTACTCTAGGAAAGACTGGCAAGATACCCGTGAGTAAAGCCAGCCCCCACGTCCAGACTTTAACAAGCTATATCTGGGTATCAGAAAGCCAAACCCACTAAAATAAAATGGGCCACATTCTCCTAACGCCAAAAGAGCTCCCGATACGACAGCGCCAGATAGGACGAATACGAAGATGCTGTTTAAATCTCGTGGCCATTATAGGTCCTATATCGCAAAGAAATAACGTGACTATTTGCACCTGCAATGCACGTACACTTGCATCCTAGTCCTCGATAGAAGACTTAATTATGCAAACAAGAAGGATTAGGTACGACGTCATCGGCGTGGCCGAGACGAGACGACGCCAGCCTTTCAACGCCATCTGTGACATCGGAGAAGAACCATTTCCTGGAACATGCGACAGTAGAGGAGTCTGCGGCGTCGGCGTTCTCGTCAACACCAGTTTGTCCATGAACATCGATGATGCCCGAAAGCCACCATAAACTGGAATTATTCAATTTACTAGTCCGCTGTTGGAAAGACGCCGTTCTTGGTAACATCGACGAGGAATACGATCGCCTCACTTAACTTCTTCACATTAGCGCTATGAAAGCCGTGAGTCCGAAAGTCACCAACACTCGAGTGATACGCCAGGGTGTAATCGTACGAGTTGCAGGCAACCGCCAGCTCACGTCCACACTTGCAAAGCAGTGCAGACAGGCTATAAAAGGAAATCTTAAAGAGTGAAGAAGACCAGTTATGGTCGAAGCTGTTAAAGCCGGGAGAAGCATTCGCAAAGCCCGCAGAAGGTTCGCTAATTACAAGACCAAGATCATTGTACTCCGACGCCCAGGCGGAACAGTTACAGCGTCCAGAAATGCAGTGGGAAAAATCATTGACAATTGCTAGTCAGATCTCTTCAATAACCACGTCCTCCTGCCTTTATACGAAATAAAAGAGGATGGATATGTCATCCCGCCGGTTGTTCAACTTGAAATCCGACGTGCTCTTGCATCGGAAAACAATCGAACAACAGCAGGTCCGAAGAGAATGAGAACTGAACACCGGTAGAAATTTCCGCAAATTATCATAAACACACCAGCTCAGCTTTCCACAAGTTATTTGTTTGAATGCAGTGTTCCTACTCAGTGGAAAACCAGCAAGAAAGAACAGTGGACGAAAGAAAGCCATGTGAGCAAGCAGGGTTTCGGAAGTATTTATCACGGCCGACCAAATCCACACGAAAACAAGATTCCTTGAAGTACTGCGCGAGTATAAAAGACCGCTTTGTTTTACTTTCATCGATTTAACGAAAGCGTTTGACTCAGCTGAATTAGAAGGTCCATGGAAGTCATGCGCAGCAATGAGTCATTACTCAGCATACAAAGGTTCTTCGTGAGCTGTATAAAAAGTTAAGAACCACGATATCACTTTTCTAAAACGATATTATCGTCGTCAAAAGAGTGGTTAGGCAAGGTATCATATCATCTCATCATCTTACCAAAATTATTCACTCTCGAGAACGTCACGCGAGCACTGGAATTAGACAACATGGGAGTAGATGACATAGATGGTCGACAGTTACACCATCTTCGCTTTGCTGATTGCATTGTCCCTATAACACCAAACATTAACCAAGCGAAATGAATGCTTTCCGATTTCAAAAAATTTGTAAAAAAGTTGGTCTTCGACTAGATCTCACGAAAATGATGTTCATGAAGTACGGATTGGTTACGTATGATATCTTCACGCTCAACGGAACGAATACCTCCGAATGCTCCAGTTATGTCTATCTAGGTCGGGAAATCAAAATGATGAACGACTCAGCTCCAGACTTGAGCAGAAGGAAACGAGCGGCTTAGGGAGCTTTCAAGAGCATCGAGGTTGTAGTGAAGAGAACAAAGAACATCCGACTCTGACCCCACTTTTTTGATTCCACGACACTTCCTGCCTTTACGTATGCGTAAGAAACCTGATCGATGCGTAAGCAGCATGAAAAATTATTCAGTATGATTGAATGCACCAGCGAAAGGGCGATGTTTGGAGTACCCCGTGCCGCACAAATAAGGGAAGGGGTCCGAAGCTCCGACCTGGGGCAACGATCAAAAATCAAAGATGCGTTCCATGGGTCAAACTGTGGAAGATAAGGTTGGCTGGACACTTAATACCTACGAACGCCACTCAATGGGCAAACTCTGTTAGTGACTGGATTCTGCGGAATGTTAAACGTATTGCAGTAGGACCACCGACTGGATGGTTAGAGTTATTCACAAAACGCCTAGAAGAAAGTTATGATACTCAACAAGTCTCTAGTGCGAGCAGCACCCCTTGGGCTACCCTTGCACGCGATAGGGAAAAATGGAAAGTTTACTGGCACCCACGCCATTCACTCGATGATTAGCGAGGAGACAGGTGATACAGGTAATTGTTTTGCTATTGATTCTTTTGTTATTTTGCTTTCCTTGTTGCTTGAGGAAGCATTTCCGTGACAGCCATGACTGTAGAGCTGAAGGAAAACTAAAGTAGGCAACCGAAAAATGGCACACTGTAGAGATGAAAAACGTTCCTGGCTCTGGTCCTCCGAAGATAGCACTAAGCGACCTGAATTTTATCGTTTTGAGAAGTATCAATAAACTTTAACTCCTCTGACCAATCGTCTCCACTTCAGCATCTTCATTTTTACTGTATTACAGGAGAGATCAGTTTCACTGTTGTTTTCCTGTATCTTAAGTGAACATCAAAATCGCAGAGGATTAGCAATCCTGCCACTTATCCTCTTTGGTAGTTCAGTGAGGCAACCAGTGCATGTGAGCATCTCACTTAACTCTTCCACGTTAAATCGTCATAGTGCACTGCCCTGGCCGACAGGCACCTAACGCAGCAGTATATTCCTATAATACCTCTAATTTTCAATTTTTTTCTCCGAGATAAGTAAACATTGTAAGGATAATAAGAAGGAATGAACTAAACAAAAGACCGGTCACGAATACTGAATAGGAAATAGTAGAGACTTCAAATACAGTGTAGGGAACAATAAACTTAATCAAGAATAGATGAACAATAGTAAATAGGCAACTCCTTTAACATTGAAAAGCTATAATACCAGTTTGAAGATAATTCGTTGGGATATATTTGCAAAACTCCGGACCACAGGTGTATGCAGTGGGGAACGAACACGCGCTGTTGTCCTTACCGGTGATGCAGCGCATCCGGGTCCGGATGGTGTAGTGGTTAAGTGCGCTGCTCCCCGGTAAGGACAACAGCGCGTGTTCGTTCCCCACTGCATACACCTGTGGTCCGGAGTTTTGCAAATATCTCAGCACTTCATACGAGTTATATTTCACAACATACCCTGCCATTAAGAAGAAAAAGGCAGTAAATAAAAGAGTTAAGATAATTCGTTGGTTTTATTACCGTGGTACTGGACAATTTCCCAGGGTGTCTATCTGCCGATCGTGTCTGTTCAGCTGAAGAAACAGGAAATTTTGAACGGTCCGGTTATCGGAGACGACAACTGGGTGTTCTAGAGCATCAACATATTCACTGCTTATGGAATTTCGAAAGGATACAATTGATTGCTTAACTGAAACACTTCATTAACTGTTGAATGGTGGGAAAGAAACCGCATACTGAACGGGAACCGACATCTGGCAACGGTGCATGGGTGTGAATGCTTACACTTTCATTTTTCATCCAATATCTGTTTCGTTGGACTCAAAAAGAAAGATATTACCTGTTGCTGCATTGCGAAATGAAAGGTCAAAACAAAACGGTGAAACTAATCCCACCACTGTAAGAAAATAAAACTGTATTTTACATATTATCCTACCGTGAAAAAATAATGGGTAGTGGATAAAAGCTAAGCATTGTTTCCGTCAAACTTCCGCCACTCATCTAATTGGGCGTCATTTTGCTGCATGTATTTATCTTTTCCATATTTTAAATTTCAACGAAAAAAACATGCCAATGCTACTACAAGAATGCTTCGCGAATATCTGAAACAACACGAAATATGACATAACTTCAGAAGCATAGCCACGCTCACGACCCGCTACCAGACGCGCGAGAACGTCGTCACCACCGAATTCGCCTCCCACGTCGCCACTATTCAAGTGTGAGTGTGTTCAAATTCTCTCTAGAATATAACGCATAGGTGGTCTCCGACCACTGGAACAAAAACACTGGCCAACCAAGATTTATTTGCGCAAGTTGAAATTTGCATATTACGTAACAACGTATAACTTTTTATTTACTACCTATTAATCACAATGTCGTTACTTTTTACTGCTTACTCTTTTCTTCTAACGGCAGGGTATTGTATGAAACATAACTACAATGAAGCTGAGATATTTGAAAAACTCCGGACAGTTGGTGTCTGCGGTGGGTACCGAACTCTATTGTAACCATATTATTAGCCTTTCGTTTTCATCGACAGAACGGCGGTTCCAGGTGACTATTGAAATGGGTGACAAATCATCTGATCGGTGCTTCTTTCTCGTCCGTGCCTCTTTTTGTTGTATTCGTTGTGTGGTTTTCGGTAAATTGTGTTTTGACGTTTACAGCTTTCATTGTTACCTTGGCAAGAGACAATTGAAATATTTCCTGTAAATGTCATACTTTCGCCGTTATTTTTATAGAGGAAATTAAAATTTTTGCACAACTTCGATTTCAGGTTTTTCTTCGTTTTTTACGGAGCCTGCGGCATTTTGATTAGAGTGTTTGGTCCTGTGCTGTTCCTCAATAACAAAAAACTGTACACCTCTGTTCGTCAAATATGTTTCGTGAGGAATTCTACCTAGAAAGAAAAATTAGACGAAGTAACCTATTTTTCCTCAAGTCGATTTCGTTTTAGGTGAATCCGATCTTCATGGTCCTGCTTCCTATCTACTCAATCCATAGATTGAAGTACTACCGATTGAATAGAGATCATAACATTCTATCAATCATGATGATCGAGAGTCGAGGTCTGGCTGGCACCCGAAATTATGAAGGGATCATCAACAGGGCGTGGGAACACATTCCACAACCGTGAACTCCGTGAACTTTGTACTTCTTCACAGTACAGAGCTTGTGGTATTTAATGGTCGACATTTCTCCCTCAAGCGAAAGTTTGAAGAATTCTAGACAATCTTCTCTAGCATATCAACTACAATAAACTGTTTACGTAAATTGGACTCCATCGTAACTGATGATGTCACATCGGTGGAGAAATTAACGGACGTTGTCGGTAGTATAGAAATTTGCTGCCAATTCACATTTGCCGTGACCTGACCTCCATAGACATCCCTTGAATAGGTTCATGACCGTGAAAACATCGAAAAGCAGAGATATTTCGTGGTAATTATGACTAACACTGCCAACTCTTAGTGCTATTTACTTGAAACTTGAGAATCTTGTCCTAATAGTTATTTTAACATTATTTTAAGAAAAATCACTAACTCGCGCTCATGGTCACTTAGAGTTAGAACAACACAGAAAAGTCGATGGATGACTACTGTGACAA